CAGGTATATTTAAATTTATATTTATTAATATGTTAATACATTTATATATATATATGTGTGTGTATGTTAGTTTGTTTATTTGTTTATCTGCTTTTATGTGTACATGTGCATGTCTACAAATATACTTGTATATTTATCGTTTATATACACTGTTTTGTACCTCTTTGTAATTCCTTGTTGATTGGTGCACGATTAATTAATTGTACTTTTATCATTCCGGTACGGGCCTCGTCGCATGGTCAATCTAACCCTGCTTTGCACTTTGTACCAATTTCATCGACGGCAGGAAAATACATAAAGCAAGCCCACAAAATCCCGAACTTCGTAGTTCCAGATTTGGCCGGATTCAACGTAAGTTGGTAGTGGAAGTATTCGTAGATTTATTTCTCGTAAACGTTACCGTTTTTTAGCAAACAAACAGTGTTTGCAATGCACTAGGGCAGCTTATTGGATATCGTATCACGCCAGTCTTATAGCCCTCCAGCGTCTCTGTATCACCGGAGTGCTTCCCCACTGCGATGTATTGGGTTCTCTATCCGCTTGGGGTTTCCAAGCCTATCAGCGACCTAGTTGTGGGCTTTTAAATTCACGCTTTGCAGAAATGTTTATTGTACGGTCTCGTGTGACACGTTCCTTGTTACTTAGCACGCGAACTGTATTAGTGATATTGACCTATATACAAGTACATGCCTGTCCACATATTTGATAGTGTCTCGGCTATAGAGGCAAAACCGCAGTCCAAGGTTTTCCACTGATTCCGCTCTGCTGCCCTTTCAACTTTCGTTATCCCGTTCCTCAAACGGTTTCTCACCCGTGCGCTGCCTATCACAGCTAAAGCCGTACGTTGCGAAGACTGTGGACAGCCCCAAGGTGGCGCCCATGACACCCGATGTGATGAAGGAACTTGGTAGTAAATAAAGGAGCAAATAAAAAACGGTTGCGCAATTAGCGACCCAGAATGTAGGTATACTTGTTCATATGGCGAAGATATACTTGATCTGATGGCTGACTCGATAGGACCCATGTGCCGTATACGTAACCAAATTTGGAAGCCCTTCAGGTGTACTGGGATGCTTAATTGGTTCGCAGTATCAACCCACAATCATGACTCTGTTGGTATCTATGTAGATTGCACGCGAAGACGTACTGCCATTGATAGATGGCATTAGAATCAAAGTTTTTGTTCTGATGGTAACTGTAGATTGTACGTGAAGACGTACTACCATTGGTGGATGGCATTAGAATCAGAGTTTATGTTCTGTTGGTAACTATGTAGATTGTACGTGAAGACGTACTACCATTGATGGATGGCATTTGAATCAAAGTTTATGTTCTGTTGGTAACGATGTAGATTGTACGTGAAGGCGTTTTGCCATTGATGGATGGCATTAGAATCAAAGTTTATGTTCTGTTGGTAACTATGTAGATTGTACGTGAAGGCGTTCTACCATTGATGGATGGCACTCGAATCAAATTTTATGTTCGCGTGACCAGTCGATACAAAACAATACTCTCGTTTGTTGGGTGTATTCGTTTATTATTGAAAAGGGGTTACAATTCGTGATGGTAGATGGTTGTATGCTCACTCCCAAATACAAACCCCGTGCCCATGTATTCGTATATCAAATTAGATTTTCCTGTCCATTTATGTGTCTTTATTATGTGTACATAAAGGGAGTTACAGACTCCCCTATGACGAAACCATTTTCACCTTTCAATACCTTATCGACCAACTTCCTGAAACTGTATTTCTGATGTTATCAGAGATCACACATGACTTCCGCTTCTATTACTATTTTACCTTCTTGTTTGGTAGGCCATTTTGGAGGCCATTTGCATACTGGGCGTGTATTTCGCAAACTATCGCATTCGGCATCATTTCAATTATGGCCACTTTCTGTCCTATAAACCCGAATATCGTCTATTGTCGGCCCGATATCCAGACCTAAAAATCTAAACTTCAATATGCAGCGGCTTTTAAACTGGTAGTGTATTCCGCATGCTGCCATTATTCAGATTTGGTCACTTTCTGTCCTATATACCAAATATGTGGCAGTTCATATATACTGACTTATGTATTGCGCATACTCATACTATTGCCTTCAGCATCATCCGATTTCAGTCGCAACCTGTCCTGTATCCCAAATGTAGTCCACTCTCGACCAATATCCAGACCTAAAATCTAAACCTAAATATGCAGCGAATTTTACACCGGCTGTGTATTTCGCACGCTGGCATCATTCAGATTTTGGCCATTATCTGACTTATATTCCAAATGATGACCACTCTCGGCCCGAATTCCAGACCCAAAATACACCTAATATGCAGCCAATTTTACACTGGCTGTGTGTTTCGCACGCTGGCATTATTCAGATGTTGGCCACTTTCTGACCTGAATCCCAAGTAATGTCCACTCTCGGCCCGAAATCCAGAGTCCGGGCTCTGAGGGTAGACGCCAGAAGTGGAATTGATTCGCAATTCAGAGATATCCGACCCACGGCGACTTGATTTGTATCTGATTATAAGAGATCAGGATCCAAATCACGAAATAGGATGTCAGTTTTGAAATCAGGATTCCACCAGCTAATCGGGAACGCCAGTATGAAGATTAGGAGACTAACGGGCAAATCAGGAGTGTCAACCCAAGACCTAACCCATGTCGGCATTGCATACAGCGTAATATGTGATAGTAGGTTGCCCTGTTAAGTGCACGCGTAGGTCGTCTCCTCAAAACTGACCAGAGTATTGTACCGAACGGTTAGTTGAGGAACACGCCAGCTGTGGCCTATAGCAATGAAGGATCCATACCCTGTTAGATCTCGGGTGGTTCAAGTCGCACGTAGTATGTATACCAACCACTCCACTACTGGCCGTTGTGTATGGGGTTCTTTAACGTTTACTAGATGCGTTGGTTAGGCATGCACCGTTTGGTCTAAACCTTTAAACGTTTACTAGGTACATTGGTTAGGCATGCACCGTCTGGTCTAAACCTTTAACGTTCACTAGATACATTGGTTAGGCATGCACAGTCTGGTCTAAACCTTTAACGTTTACTAGATGCGTCGGTTAGTTGGTCTAAACCCCGTAGTAGATGTGAGGGATCGGCAGATGCAAGGCGGGCAAACGGACATATGAGTATAGTACAGCTATTCGTCAAAGGGAAATGTACATATGAGTATAGTACAGCTATTCGTCATAGGGAAATGTACATTTGAGTATAGTACAGCTATTCGTCATAGGGAAATGTATATATGAGTATAGTACAGCTATTCGTCATTGGGAAACGGGCATATGAGTATACTACAGCTATAAACGGGCATATGAGTATATTACAGCTATTCGTCATAGGGAAACGGGCATATGAGTATACTACAGCTATAAACGGGCAT